ACTTTCTCAAGAGAATAACACAGGCTATGGAAACAGAAAAGAGTTTCCTAAGAGGAATCTGTGCAAAACCCAATTAACAGATTCAAGACACGAGCTAACCTATTTTACAGGAAGACTCTTGCTTAATGACATTCTGAGCCAGTTAATTTTCTGTGGTGAAGGGGGCTCTGCTATGCTCTTTGAGGCATTTAGCAATAATCTTGGACTCTAGCTCTAGACCCTAACAGTTTCTTTTACTATATCCTTCTATTACTAGATGTTGTCACTGGGTGCAGTGATAGGGGAAGTCCTTCTGTGTATATGTTCGTCTGATTGGTTGATAAATAAATAACTGTTGGCCAATAGGGAAGCAAGATAGGTGGGACTAGGAGTCGGGGAGGATTCTGGGAAATGTAGTCAAGAGTGGAGAGTCGCCATGGGATCCCGGGAGGAGAGGATGCAAGTCTGGAGTTCTCGGTAACATAAGACCTTATAAAAATATATACTACCAATTATGGGTTGATAATTAAGTCAGAGATAGCAATTAAGAAACCATAGCAAACAGCCAATAGTTTCATAATTTATATAGTGTCCTTTGTTTTTATTTGGGACTGATGTGACTCTGGGACCAGGCTGGCAGGAAGAATCATATAACAGTGCAGGTATAAGAACCATGAGCTTGAGGAAAATGGTCATGGCTTGTCTAATGACCAAACATTGTGTCTTTAGAAACCTTTAAGTCTAGCAATACAACCTTATTTATTTATTTATTTATTTATTTTGGGTGCATGGTGGGGGTGTGCACATGTGTTCCAGCACGTATGTGGAGGCCAAAACACCACGTGCTTCATCTGGTTCCAGCTTTCCAGCATGTGAGGCCATGATACCGAACTCACGTCATCGGGCTTGGCAGCAGGTGCCTCTTCCGACTGAGATATCTGTGGGCCCCACACTCATTTTCTCGCAGTAACCTCTGTGCTGCTGTCTTACCTACACCTCAGGCATAGAACATGGAACAAAATTTGAAATGCAAGGACTTGGATGCCGTACTAGCCACTGACCTCAGGACTAGCACTCCTGAGTTGAATGCCACAAGTGGAAGACAGAATTCACCCAGTGTCACAAAGACCACACGCAGTCACACAGGCTAGACACTGCACGATGCAGAGGGCGCTATGCACACAAGCTGCAATGGGAATAGAGCTCCTGGAGCTGTGCAGGGACATAGCCCAGCATGCTGAAACATCTCAGTCATTTGCCCCCTGTCTGATAGAGAGAATCTCAGGAAGAAGAAAGGAACAAACTAGGAAGCAGACTACCAAACAATGTCCGGGAAATCTTGAGTCACCATTTCAACTCTAAAAAGGCTCTATCCAGAGAGCATTGCCTTCTCCAGAGCTAGAGCAGACTTCAAACCCAAGAACTCTTGCTGCAATTTTCGTTTATACTACGTTTATGCTGTTACGCAGACTCTGCGAATTTCCTTTAAATCTGAAGATATGCAGCCAATTAGAGTGAGCTTGGGCTTCCCACGAGAAGGCTGAGACTTACACCGCACTTCTGATAGTAGAAGTGTGTCTGGCCATCAGCCTGTTGCTGAGAGTACAGCTCTACTTTCCTAGTCATTAATTGGAGAAACAAGCAAAGATTCTCGTTCCAGAATGCTGTGAGCACTGAGAGACTGAGGCGTGAGCGTGCACGCACGGTGTGAAAGAAAATCCACACACGGCAGTTCAGTTTTAACTGGCTGGAGGTTTGAGACCAACTCAGGAGATACTGAAGGCACCACACTTCCAAAACATACCCGTTCTTCACATTCTAAAAGATGCTTTATCCAATGTGATGGTGAGTTCTATTGTTCTGATAATATCGCTCTATGCTTGGGGGATCGTAAAGGCTTCTCTCTCTCTAAATGGCCAGGAAAGTGAGCAAAGTCTAACAGCTGGGCAGGATCCCCGAATCTGGGCGAATGTTAAGTGTCCTCCACGTATTCGATTAATTCATAGAATGTAACTTTCTTTTTTCATTAAACAATTGACTCATTTAAAAGGAAAACTTTTTGACCCATCTCCAAATTAAAATCCAAATTACAAAGTGACAAAAGGAACTCATTTAATCAAGATATTCTGATGCTTGCTTTTGAAGTAACCCAAGGATAAATAAATAGGAAGCATTATGTATTTAGCTTAATAGAATAAATCTCTCTTATATCTCTGTTGTGAGGCTAGTCTTTAATGGCTGAGCCATCTTTACAGCCTGAATAAATCTCTCAATAGACACTACTCCTATGATGATAGTCATTGGAAAAACAATATAGTCCTATATTTGATTTTTTTGATGTGAAGAGTATTTTCTAAATAACATAAACCTTAAATTATTATTCCTCAAGCTACTAACTCGACACTTAAGAGGGATGAGAGATCCCACTACTAAATGCTTTTACAACCTACTTATTAAAGTACCAACAAATTATCAGAATAGATTTTTCACATGTGATACAAGTGAAGATCTAGGCTTGCATTCATCAACTAGCATACCTTTATGCTACTAGCATAGCCTGATTATCTGGAAGAATGAGCTAGCTCAGTTTTAAATGATTTATAGAGTCTTCCAAATTGCCAGGCCATCCTGTACACTGATTTGAAGTCCCAGAAACTGGCTCCTTCCTCCATGTGAAACACAGAAAGATCTTGGGGCATGCCCCAGGTCGTGGAGTAATTATCCTTAGAGACAGAAATAGAGCTCATAACTCCTGACTTCCCAGAATGTATGGGGCTAATCACTCCACGTGGTTTATTAAGCATTTTTATCACCAATGTCTGAGTTTGCATTACATAAAGACTTCAGTAACACTTTCTAATAACTGATCATAACTTCTAATTAGACCCCTTAAATTCATGCATGTGCAATATCAGTATAGATTTTGTCAATGACTTTCTTTCTGGTCCTCAAGATGTCACAGTCATAGTGTAGAGAGTAGAAAGCTTAGGCTATGTCATTAGATACAACAGGGATCTGAATTTTAATCCCAATACAGACATCGTCTAGATGTTGGGGGATGCAACAGTGAGTCTATTGATCAATAACATCCTGCCCTCCTTTGGTTTGCCCTCGCATAGGGAGATATAAGCAATAGGTAAATAAGGATAAACATAAATTAACAAGATTTCCAATGCTGTGGGTATTGTGACAGAAATCACAGGGTGGTGTGTTGAACACTTGAGATAGAGAAGTTTGCCAGTGGCTGTAAAAATCCAACAGCAGGTGCCTGAGTGTTCGGAACTAGTGAGTGAAAACACTAGCTCCTGTCTGCCTTCTCATGTTAGTCATGATGACATATGCTACACACAGCTGCTCACAGCGTCCCCCCCCAACCCGTGAGTCTGCTCACCTGCCCCTTCATGGATTCCCTCTGCATGCACATAACACTCAGTACAGTTAAGTCAGTTCTTGTCATTAGCCCCACACGGTGTCATCATGTGAGCATCAACTTAACTTCTCTTAACTCTGTAAGAACTTACACGTCCACAACAATTGGGAAAATGAGACTCAAGGAGGAAGAAGCCTCAGAGACAGTAATTGACCAGACCAAGGTATTCTTTTCACGAACCGTCTCTTATTGACCAACTGCTTGGCATGCTCCCAGTGACTGTGTGCAGGTTTGTCCCCCTGGCAAGAATGTGAAGGCTCAGGATGAATCTCCATTTTCATTCTTCCTCAACCTTTTCTTTTTCACATCTGTCTTCTTAGGTACAGCAGGAACTTGGTCATTCTCATTGTTGCCATTCAGAGTCTCAAAGAGACTGGTGGAGTTCCCTGGCCCAACCCAGGTTCTATACCCTACTGTTCTTATTATATATCAAAGACTTTTGTTCTTCTAGACACACCATGTTTTAATAAAGGTAAGCAAAGACCTAAAAATGTTCCGACGATCATTCCTCAGCATGTAAATGTTAAAATTCGTGTATCTTTGGATTATACTGTGTTAGAATGACTTGTTTTAAAAATTGCTATTTGCCTTGCTGACTGCAGTTTCATAAAATACTGTTAAATGAATTTTGTCTTGTAATTAGAGCAGCATTTAAAATAATTTTGAACCTAAATGGACCTAAACATGCTTCTGTCATTTTTTAAAGAATGTATTTCTATGAAGGGGCTTCTCAGTATTAATTATAAAATGAAACTATCAATCAACTCTAAAAACTGTGGGAGGTGTAGTCTCAAATAATCAGATGAAATTTAATTATTTATGCAAAAAAACAAGTGCGTCTATGCTTACTAGTATTTAAATTTGCTTTCAAAATGGTAAAATTATACACACACACACACACACACACACACACACAGGCTGAGCAGCGGTAGTGCATATCTTTAATCCCAACACTCAGGAGGCAGAGGCAGGAGGATCTTTGTAAGTTTGAGGCCAGTCTTGTCCACAGAGCTTGTTCCGGGACAGAGAATTCCTGTTCTAAGCAAAGTAAAAAAAATACATTTGGCTATAATTTATTCCTAGTGAATGTTTGATTTGTCTATATGTTTAATAGTCATACAGGTTTGTGTGATATAAAGGCTTCTCCAGTGAAAACAGTTCAGCAGTGGAAAATGTTTAAGACACTCTGACTTGCAGCCCCATTAGTACAGCATTCATTGGAAAGCAGGACCCTGCTGGAGAAAAAATTCAGTACAACCACAACTACGGATACAAGTACAACCAGATGCCAGTGATGACTTAGGAACTTTAAAAGGAGCAAACAGTAATTATGTGCAGTTCCCTCTGTGTCTCAGTTACAGCGACCCAAGACACCTTCGGAGTCCAATAGACACCTGATCCCGGCTGGTGATACTGAGAATACATGGATCAATCACCCATCGTGTGTCAGGTCCTCTCCTGGAAATAAGTCACACAGAGATGAAGAACGCAGGAGAGCCTGAGTTCTGAGTGTTCTGTCAACGGACGTCACAACACGAGACAGCGAATGCCAGCATCGGAGGCACCGCAAGCGGTCCCGAGGAATGCACCTAGTCCCAACGTCTTTAAGAAACGTTGGCAAGAAACCTTCTGTGGAGAAGGGATGCATACACCAGGGAAGATGGCTGAGAGAGAGGGACAGGAAGAGGACTATTCTGGGGAGAGATAACTGCTTCTTAGAGGCAATACATTCAGGGAATTATAATAGTCTGACTAGAGGGATGGGAAATCACGAAGGGTCAGAGAGGAGTCTGAAAGAAAAATGGCTGGGGAGCAGGATGGGCACAGCCCTGAAGGGAATTTAACCAGGAAGGGGCAAAGTCATCGAGACAGCACGGCAGAGACAAACAAACCACTCAAAGACGCACAGTTGTCGTCTAAGTGAGTGTGGTGCTGGCCGCAGAATTTGCTCGTTTTGCAGGCATTCTTCTAACAGATAGCCTCTGAGAGCACAGGTCACTCCCCAGGCTCTGTTCCGGGCACTGAAGATGCAACAGGAAGCAGCGGGGAGAACGAGAAAATCCTTGTAAGATGCTGAGCAGCGATTAGCATTCAAGAGGAAAGCTGGGTGAGTGACAAGTTCTGTGGTTGGAAGACGCTGGTGGGCTGGCTGGTGATTAGTGAGGAAAGGCCTGGCCTAAGAGCCAATCTGAAGTGGTTTCCTGTCTGGTTCATGTCGGGGAGTCTGGGGGGTGTAGGAAAGAGAAATGGCGGCTCCTGAGCTCAGTGACTTTGTGGACCAGGAGCCCAGGAAACCGTCAGGAAACAGGGGATCTCACTGACCTGAAACTCACGGGTCTAGGACGGACAGGCCCAAGAGGCAACTGCCTTTCTAATGGTAAGAATAGCTCTTAGATTCTTCATATTGTAAAATCCACTAAAACTGGGGGCCGAGCGTTGGTGGCACACGCCTTTAATCCCAGCACTTGGGAGGCAGAGGCAGGCAGATCTCTATGAGTTCGAGACCAGCCTGGACTACCAAGCTAGCTCCAGGACAGCCTCCAAAGCCACAGAGAAACCCTGTCTCGAAAAAAACAAACAAACAAAAAAATCCACTAAAACTGACAGTTAATTATTAAACGCCGAGTGTTCACCAGACTCACACTCAGAGAGATGAAGCAACTTACCAAGCATTTCACAGGAAAGGGAAAAAAAGCTACTGCTCCCACACCGTAGTTTCTAGGCCGTTTTGTTTTCAGGTAGCTTGCTCTGTCATTTTCAACAAGTACTAAGACTTAAGACAGCAAAGTAAAACTGTGTGTCCTGGTCTCCTCAGTCAGGAACGTTGCTGAGGACACTAGACTCTCCATCAGTGTTTAATCGCTATGGCATCATTGACTTTAAAAAGTCTGAAAAAACGTGCTGCCACTGGAGGGCATGTTGATGTCCATGATCCCTGCTGTACTGAAGGCTACGCTGACGTCTTTCCTCGGTGCATGATGCTGCCAGAGGCCAGGTTGATGTCCATGATCAGAGACGCTACCGGAAACCATATTGATATCCACTTACGTGAGAAGCCAAGAAAGCAGAGAACCAAAGGTCCACACGCTCCTCTCCCCGGACGCAACTGGACCGGAAAGAGAAACCGTATCCTTCCCCTAGCCCTTTTATCCACAGTATGGTCTACGTACCTGTGACCACACCCAAATGGGTGTGGTCAGTGCTACGGTTTCGTAGATGTCTCCCCACAGAGTCCTTAAAAATTGTGATAAAGATGAAGTGTAGCTCTTCATAGCTGGTGGCTTCTGGTGAGAGGTTGGGGAAAGGCTTTTCTTTAAGGTTCTAGCCACTGAGAGTTTGCCCATGCTCCAGTGAATATGTGGTACCTTAAGGAAGCCTCGTGCTTGATCTGTAAGATAGTAGGCACAAGCGTGGGCACCACAGATGAAAGCTACAAATGGAAAGGTAGAATCAGCCTTGCCATCTTCAGGAAGTTTTCTAGGTACTTTTTTTGGTCATTTAGACACAAGCTAGAGTCATCATGGAAGAGGGAACCTCAGCTGAGAAAATACCTTTATCAGACTGGCCTGTAGGCAAGTCTATGCGCATTTTCTTGATCAATGATTGCTGTGGGACGACCCAACTCCTTACGGGCAGCAATATCCCTGGGCTGGTCAGTCTGGTTCCTATGGAAAGCAGCCTGGGCAAGCCACGAGGAGCCACTAAGCAGGTGCTCCTCCATGGTGTCTGCTTTCGCTCCTGCATCAAGGTTCCTGCCTTGGGTTACTGCCCCGACTTCCCATCATGATGGGCTATAAGCAGCAAGCTAAGCTAAACCCTTTCCTTCCCAACTTTCTTTTGGCCATAGAGTTCATCAGAGCAAGCAATGAAAACAAACTGAGACAGGAGGCATGAGAAGGGTACACTCTGGTTCAACTAAATGTTTTTATATGTGTCAGGTCTTCGAGTGACCCAAAGACATTGGGCCATTTTGTTTCTCATGCTTGGCACTGAGCCACGGTGTCTGGGCCACCTGGATTCTTAAGGAATGGAAACGGGAGCTTTATCTTCTACCCAATCTTTTCCTTAAGACCCCCTGGAGCGAAAGGCCAACTTCCAAAGCAGCATTTGAAAGAGAATTATGATGTAAGCAGACAGGAAAATAGTTTTATGTCTACTTACGGATGTGTCGATTTTCAAGTAGGAAAGCCAAAAAAAAGTGTGTTTGTTTGTTTGTTTGTTCTAGACATGATCTCACTATGTGGTGTCAGAATAACCTGAAATCTGACATCCTCCACCCTCAGCTTCAAGAGAACTAGGATTGTCAGCCTGAACCACCATATGCAGCTTAAGGACATGAGCTTTCTTTTCGTTTGCTTTTCAACTATTCATGAGCCCGAGAAACCTCTTTGAGATTCATTTTCCATCCATGCAGCATGATCAGCTTGAGTCGTGTCCTTATTAGACAGAATTTCCACAAGCAGTAAAAGCCAGTTTACAATGAGATCATTTTTGGAAATTATGGTAGATGCTTAAACGTCAGATTTGGGGGGGGGTTCCTTTTCTTTTGGACATATGCTTCAAACATGTAGCTGCCAACTGTGTAACGTACATCGGTAATTCAGATATGGCTATGTTCAACCTGCCTGTGCTGTTGAGAGCTCTGTTCCTGGCCCAAGCCATTTCTCTCTTGTGCCTATATGATTAACCTTCCCAATTGCAAATCAATTCCACTCTTTCAGTCTCTTCACCCCTAAAGAAATCCTGTCCTAAAGATTGCTCTACCACATTCCATTGAGTGAGTATATCTCCATTTAAAAAAAATATTCTGCCAGCGGGAGATTCAGGGCTGGCTTTTGTTTGGCAATTAAAATGATGCTACTGCAAATCTCTTTAGTGATTATACAGACAGCTTAGTCAGATGAGTTCCTGGCAGTGAGTTCCCCAACTGATAAGGGCGCAGACAAGTTCAGCTTCAGGAGATGCTGCCAATAATTTCCTGAAGCGGTAATGCCACGTTTCTTACTGATTTCCACGACTTCCGCCTTTTTTTTTCTCATATTGCTATTCCAATGCGTAACAATAAATGAAAATACAAAAGGTGATGCACTCATTCAGAAAAGGTAAAAGTTTTTACTAATAGAAGATAGGTCAGAATTCAAAAGCACTCCCTGAGCGTACTGAAGACGCTATGCTTAGTGGATCACTGATGAGAAAGAGGTCAGACAGCCGGCACCACACCACAGTACTGCAAACATACTTCCTGGTCTTGAAATAGTTATTGGTAAAAATCAGCCATATGAGCCAAATATCTTACAAGTATTTTAGGATTTGACATTTATCATCCCATTATAGCAAATGTAAATGACTACAGTCGTGTTACTTATCATGATATTGTCCTAAAGAATATAAAGCTTCTGTTCTCATCCATAGCCAGTGTTGTTATATGTTTTAAAAAACCGACACTAATTTAAATTAGGAAGGTGCTCTTTGATCAGCTGAACTTGAATACATTTTTTTCCTTCATATTATGGCCCATAGCCGATGAGGATAACATGGGCATTGGAGGATAGAAGTCAGAACAGCTGTCAACGCCTGTATGAGATGCTCACAAGACTGGACCATTAATATGCCAGCGTTTGGCACTCACAAAACTCAGGAGTCTCATGAGCAACGCAAGGAGAGGCATATGAGGGCCTTCTCCCAGAAGATGGATAAACAGTTAACAACTGCTGGGAAGAAGGAACAAGACTCTTTTCTGGTGGGCCTCTGTGAATGATACGTCACCTATGTCCCTGTCACTGAAACTCATTGATTCACCAAACTATGGTGGAGTGGAATGAGAGATCTTACTTGGTACCTGTGGCACTGACCACACCCAAATGGTATGTAAGTGTGCGGGATTTAGGTCTGGGGGGAAGTACAGGTTCTCACTCTCTGGGTTCCTGTCAGGTCTCGGAGGGCAGCTGAGATTGGATGCTTGGAGTGCTGACCCTGGGTTGTTGGTTTCTCATGTAAGTAATTTCTCCCTAGTAAAATTAACCTGCTTCATCCCAATCCTGTATATCATAGATTTTACTACCACAGTGGAGTTGTTTCTTCCATATATTATGGCCCCATCTGGCTGAGCAGAAGTAGATTCCACAGGAAAAGTCAGATAGCACCCCCACCTCTTCCTGGTTCTGCCCAGCATAGGCCTTACTCCCAACTTTGTCTTCTGAATGGAGATTTGATAATTTAGTAACACTACTAAATAGTCTGAAGAGTTCCTTAGTCCCAGACCCCAGAGAAGTCACCAACAGACCTTCCCATAGCTCCTTCCACCCATCGATAAATTGGAGCCTGATGCTGTGTTCAGAACAGACTGAACACATCATGACTCTACTCATCCAGAACAGTGGACACTGTGGTGGTGTTAAGCTCACTGCTCACAGACGCTGAGGTCAGCTGGATGCTCCTGTCTACGGTGGGGATTCTCCTACCAACAGTCTCCTCCTTCCTCTTTGGCCTCAGCAAAATAATGAAGCACTTGGCAAGAAATATGCAGCCTAACACGCCATAGCTGGATGCCAAAATGGCAAATATTTCCACGGCCACTTTGAACTTGCCTTTGGTGCTCAAGTAAACAGGGACAAAAGAGATCCAGGTGAACAGGTATATATAGCCACACCTGTCTTTTTGCTTGGGCACTGAATCATAAGTCTTCAGGTCTCATGTTTTCAGGGTAAGTGCTCTTTATCCACACAGCCATCTTCCCAGACTCCCGTATTTTTATAATATTCATTGAGGTGTGTTTTAGAATTCAGAAGTGTAGTTTGTTTATGCCTCAATTGGAGGAGGTGTTCTTATTTCAAGGATGGGTAGGATGCCTTTTCCAGGTCAGGCTTGGTGATACATTACTTGCAATCCCAGAACGTGGAAGGCTAATTCTGGGTGATGGTGAGTTTGAAGCAGCCTGGGCTATTAATAGAGTGAGCTCCCAACTCAAAAACCAATAGAAAAACAGTCAAAGGTAAGCCTGTGAAATCTTCAATCACTGATAAGAGTGTACTGCCGTTGTATTAGGAAATGCTTATGAAGTCTGGGTTCAACCACCATGAGGGCCTGTGTAGGAAGGCTGTGAACGGCACACGGGGCAGAGTGAAGGATGTTCTTCCCACAAAGCATCCTAGAAAGAACTGTGTAAACTGTGATGAGTGGATGCACTCGAATTCAAGGTTGTGGAGAGAATGCCCTGCCGTGTTCACACCCATGACAAGGGCAAAGGCCCGGGAGGAGGAGCCTTGGCTCTTTCACATGGTTCAAGATGATGAGATGTAACATGACCAGTACTTCCTTGCTGTGCTTGCATTTGCTCAAGCTGACAGTAAATAATCACCTAACGTGCTGTTTTCTTCTGTATAAAAAGTGAGAAGCGCTCTTTAGGCATTGCTCTTGAGTTCCCCAACCTAATCGCCCAACTCAGATCTTTGTCATTTCCCTATATCTTCGAAGACAGCCTCGCTGACTTGTGTGGGTCAGCAAACTGCACTCGAAGCAACTCTAAATATACAAATACATCAATTCCGGTAGAGAGGAAAAATGTGAGCATGACTGTACTTCGTTGAAAGAGTATTAAAATAGAAATTTGCTGAATTTTACTTTTTTATCATTTTAATAGAAGGAGTTTCCTGCAAACATTGGGCAAACAGCAACATTTTCTTTATTCTCCCCCCTCTATAAAACATGAGTGTCTACACTATACTTAGCCTAAGGAATGCAAAAAGAAAAGTGTCAAGATTCATCCATGAAGTAGTTCATCTCACAGGGAGTAGGCTCGGAGTCACAGACGGTGTTACATAATTCAGGTTAAAGAAGCTCTGTCTGTTCTGCAATGTCAGAAGGGCCACAGATCTGTGTTGTCCTATATGGATGGCAGCCCCTGGCTACATGAGGCTGTTGAGCCCTTGATACACCTAATGTGACTCAGGAACTGAATTTTAAGTTTCTTTTTATTTTTCACCTTCATTTTTAAAATTTTATCAAAAATAAACTTTTTTTTCACATACTATTACAGTTTCTTCTGCCTCTACTCCTCCCAGTTCCTCCCCATCTCTCTTCCTGTCCAAGTCCACCCTCTCTCTCTCTTATTAGAAAACAAACAGACTTCCAAGGGATAATGGGATAATGATAAAATAAAACAAGAATAAAGACTAGTGTATTGGGGAAGGACAAAACAAAGGCACATGAGGAAAAGAGCACAGGAAACAGATACAGATTCAGAGACCCACTCATTTCCACACTCAGGAATCCCAGAAAAACACTAAACTGGAAGCCAAAGTATATGCACAAAGAAACTGTGGGGGGGGGGAGAGAGAGAACCCCAACATCACATCACATCACATCATGAAACAATGACTCTCTAACGATGTGAATTTGCTTTCTGTTGACCATCTGCTCTGGCTATGCAGTCTTCCTTTAAGAATAATTTGTTTTCTCAGTGGGACTCCCTTTGAGAAAACTAAATTTTCATCTGCAAGTGTTTATCAAGTGACAATAGCTTCTGGGTGAGGGATGGAGGCACATATCCACTTTGGTCCCTGACCTATCTTGTCTCAGGTTCTTGACAACATGGGCAGTTTCAGACATGGGTTCCATCTCATACAGTAGGTTTAAATTCCATCAAAGATTGGGTGGTTAAACTCACAATATTTGTGCCACTATTGCCTCAAAGTATCATGCAGGTGGGTCCCCATTGTAGACAGAATTATTTGTCACTGGGTTGGTTTTTGTCTTTCTCTTCTGGTAGCATGAAAAGTACCTTTCAGTACCAGGAGGGTCGAAGGGTCTAGCTAGGCACCAGCGTAACTTTTCTATACTTAATGAGATTATGGAGGTGTTAACTTCAGCGAAAGGTTCTTACCATAAGCGTGTAGAGAGCTAATCAACAGCCTTAGTAATTGCCTCGATTATTTGTGGGTTTTCATGAAGTCCCTTTGGCCAACAATTCAATTTATGTAACCCATTTCTGGCACTGTTGGTTTTACTTGATGGCAAGAGAGGTCTTGGAGCTTTGTCTCCCTTCTTGTTTGGTAATTTTGTTTATATCTATTTCATAGTGTATCTATTTTAAGAAGTTTCTACTGTAGTAGGTTTATGATCCCATGAAAAGCCCTTAGTGTTGGCTGTCCCTTCTGAATTCTTCCTTCTGCTTGATTTTTCCTTCTCCCTCATCATTCAATACTCCCATTCCAGTCTCTACCCCACCCCAGTATCTCCATAATTATGTATTATGTTTCTCCTTCATTGGGAGATCCTTCTATACTAGAAGCTTGGGTATGTTGTATATTCATTTTCAGTAAATTCTAGAAAGTCTTTCCTCTTTTTGCCCATCTGTCTGTCTGTCTTGAGCCATTCTTTATTCAATAGAGAGTTTTTCAGGTTCCATGATTTGTAAGATTTCTGTTGCTCATAATTTAACAACAGCTTTAATTTATGATGGTCAGAAGGGATGCAGGGTGTTCCTTGGTTTCTGTTCACCCTCTGATTCTCAAGAGGGTGTGGTGGCTGTGTGCTGCCTGGTAGAAAATGCTTTTGGTGTGTTCCTCCTAGGTGTGGCACTGGAGGTTGGGGGTAAAATGTGTTTCTGGGTATTGGGAGCTGACTTTTAGAAATGGGGGTGGCTTGGAAGGGTGTGGCTGGGGAAAATCCACAGGAGGAAAGAAAGCAGGTTGTTCCACCAGAATCTGACTAACACCCTGGGAAAGTGGCAGAGAGTGAGGGAGACCATAAAAGGTAGTCTGCTGCAGAGCTGGGGGTGAGTTCAGGGGAATTGGACTTAGAGGAGAGAAGGGAGAGGTGAAGATCTGTAGCTAGATTTATCTGCTTCCCTGCCCAGAGTCAAATTTTAAGTTGTATGTACTTACGTTTTGTGCTTTGGTGCTGGGCTCAAACTAGAGGTTTCAATCTTGCTGGGCAAACACTCTCCCACCGAGCTATATCTGAAGCCCTGATTTAGTTTCCAACTTAAAGTATCTGTACTTTAAGGGCTACTAGATTGGACAGAGAAGCTGGACAGAGAAAGGTCTGCAGCAGAGAGCTCTGGAACCCCAGTGGCAAACACTGACAAGCTGCTGTTTGGGCTTTTAGTCATAATATATTCAAGAACTGCTTCAGAGTGAACCAAGAAAGATAGAGACTGATGTCTGTCTTTCTCTCCCTCTCCCTCTCCCTCTCCCTCCCTCCCTCTCTCTTTATGTGTGTGTGTGTGTGTGTGTGTGTGTGTGTGTGTGTGTGTGTGTGTGTTATACTTTGGGGGGGTTTCGAGACAGGGTTTCTCTGTAGCTTTGGAGGCTGTCCTGGAACTCTCTCTGTAGACCAGGCTGGCCTTGAACTCACAGAGATCCGCCTATCTCTGCCTCCTGAGTGCTGGGATTATACTCTTATGGCTTTTTTGAGAGGCCTGCCACCCACCTCTCAATAAATAAATCACACATGGAGGCTTGTTCTTAGTTACGAATGCCCAGCTTTAGCTCAGCTTGTTTCATGCCAGCTTTTCTTAACTTAAATCATCCCAACTACTTTTTGCCTCTGGGCTTTTTTTCTTTCTTGCTTGCTTCTGTATATCTTACTTTCACTCTTACTCAATGGCCCCTGACATCCTCCTCTTCTTGTTCTTTTGCTCCTCTTCCCTCTTTCTCCTTCTATTCATTCTCACTGCCTGACAGCCCCGCCTGTCCTTGCTCCTGCCTCCCTATTGACTGTTCGACTCTTTATTAGACCACCAGGTGTTTTAGACAGGCAAAGAATCACAGCTTCACAGAGTTAAACAAATGCAGCATAAACAAAAGTCACACATCTTAAAACAATATTCCCCAATCTCTCTCTCTCTCTCTCTCTCTCTCTCTCTCTCTCTCTCTCTCTCTCTCTCTCTCTCTCTCTGTCTCTCTCTCTCTCTGTGTCTGTCTGTCTCTCTCTCTCTCTCTGTGTGTGTGTGTGTGTGTGTGTGTGTGTGTATAAGCCTATGTATGTTTATTCATGGAAAATTTAAAGTAATTAACTGATGAAAAAGATCTCGTAGGTGTCTGGCACACAATAAGAGCTCAAAAATCTTGAGTTCTTCGTACTCTTAGATGGTTTCTCAAAAACTTGGACGATTAGGGGATTTCAAACTTTATGATAAGTGGGCACATTCAACAGTGGGCTAATACTTTTCACATATTTTTCCTCCCATGCCAAAAAAGTTCCGAAGCAACAACATGTCCCTGACTACACATATACACTTTCATCATTTCACTTCTCCTGGTAAGTCCCTCCATCCCGAGATTTACAAGGCCGATCGAATTTCTCCTACAGTCTGTCATTTTACTGCAACTCCCCAAGCTGCTCCATACTGTACACTAATGTCATTATTCTGCAGCTTTATTTTCACTGAGCTAATATTTCACTGAAGATAGTAATAGTAATAAATTTCGTTGTTTGGTCCAAGACAACATTCTTAATTGTGGCAAGTGGTTGGGGGTTTCTGTTTGACTGGTTTTTTTTTCAACATTTCTCTCATTCTTTTCCGTTCTCTTTCTGTCCTCCATATGATCTCTCTCCCTCACCTCACTGTGTGGCATAGACCAGCCTGTCATTTGTGATCCTCCTGCTTCCGCCTTCTTAGGGCTGGATTATAGACCCGCACAAGCATGCCCTGCTGCTGTTCTTTGGAGCTCCTCTAGGTGTTATCTCCACCACGTGAACCAGGCGATAGCCAGGAGCTCACCAGACACTTCCACTGTGAAACCTGTAGGCTGCGGTGTGTGTGTCAAAGCCCCCTCTGTTGCTGCAGAGAGGGCAGAGACACAGTTCAGTGGCGGAGTGCTGTGTGAAGTCCTGGTTTTGATATCCCGAACTGTAGAAGGGAGAGTGCATGGGAATGATGTAATAATAATAATAACAAATAAGTAACAACAATCAAAATGACAATAGTAAAAGTACAGACTTTTCTGGAGTAAGCACTTCACATTAAAAACAAAACAAAAGCCAGTATCCCTACTCAAAACTCTGATTGCTATTGGCTCCCAGGATAACTTTAGAAATAAAATTTTAAGTTGTAAGACTCGACTGTTGTTTATTTAACATTCCAGAACAGAACTTTTTAATGATATGTTCAAACTTTTCAAAAATGCATTTCTACACATACATAGAATACTCTGGTAACTAGGTTTCCTACCTCAACTTACGAACCTAAGAGTTCCTCCCCTCCTACTCATCTCCCACGGGAATACATGAGAAGAAAATGGAAAAGAAATGAGGTCCTTTCAGAACTACAGTTGGAAGGAAAGGAATGTTCCAGGATTGATATGAGAAATCACCTTACATTCTATGAAAAGATAGCATGAATTAATTTAAAAAGAAAAACAGAACAAAACAAAAAACTTCACACCTGTGCCATGGCTTCGACAGCACAGAGAGCCTACGAGTATCAGAAACTTCAAGCTTTTTATGAGCAGAGAAATGGGCCTTAAATTCCAATAAGACTGTCTCAGGAATTCCCTCTACAACCCTGGATAAGCAGGAAATTCTTTGAGTCAGAAAAGAGTTATGTAAAAGATAACGGGAGAGGGCCCTGAACCCAAGGTCGTGCAGAACAGATCGAGTCATTCTGAAATGAAGCGACGTTCTTCCCACACTAAAACAGAACTGATATGCATGCAATGACAAGAAGTTATCAGTTTTGAAGAGGGGGGACTTTAGAGGGGCTACAATGAGAAAGAACGGGAAAGAGAAAAGTGATTTGTTGTATTTTAATTAAAAATGCATTTAAAAAAATGAGGCGCTTGTTACAGGGCGAGCTTGTTGACACCGAGCATGACCTCTC